ACAAAAAAAAAAAAAAAAAAAAAAAAAAAAAAGCCGAAAAGAAAAAATCCCTCGCAATGAGAGGAATTAATAGACCAGATGTCAAAAATGCATTCATAAGTCTAAGATTGAAACAACCGTTGCAAAGTACTCCCAAGAAACATGCAAGAACAGTGTTATAAAATATAAATAACTCAACACAAAACCAACCTCTATTTCATTACACAATTAACATAACTAACAAACAGTTCTTGACAAAAAAAAAAAAAGAAAAAAAAAAGAAGGAATTTTGAAAGCATGGTATTTTCCTGCTAATCACTTCTCGTGATTTGCACTACTAAGATGATAGCTTCTTCATGGTCGGCAAAGTGTTATATATGTATATATTCCTTGCACGTCTTACGCTTTATAAATGCACTCAAATGATAAATCCGTCGTTTCATGTTGATGTCTTAGCAGAACTAGTATCTATCTTGGGGGGCCAGAATGCCGCCTCGGGCCAGAAGGGGAGAATGATAGCCTTTTCTTTGCAGAAACAGGTGAGAATTTCTCTGGAGTGCCATTCTTTTCTAATCGCAATGGACTTGACAACCGAGATTTAGCTTTTACTGATTTTGTGCCTGCCATGTAACCTGGAACTGAAGGTGAACTTGCTAGGCTTTCATTGTCTCTCACCGAGGATCCTGCAATGCTGTGCCTCCTACAAACCTCAGATTTTACACTGTTCAAACTCCTCGAGTCATCTTCCCTGGCCGTATTTCCCCTTGTTAATCTTCCAGAAACCTTTGAGGTGGGAGTCAAAGGTGATTGCCTGCTGGGAGGCCGACTTCGTTTGTGGGCTGTAGGAGATAGCTTATTATCGACACGGTGAGATTGAGTCCTTGTAATTCCCCCAACAGAAGCGGGGCGACTTGTCGTGCTCTTCATTGATGCATGATCACTGTCAAGTTCTTTGTCCATTGCACTTCCATTTTCCCAAGGCCGGGAAGCCATCCATCTCTCTAACCAACTCCAACCCCAATGGGGATTATTTGGATCCATAAATGTTTGATTTGAAGATTTTGAGCTCTTCCATGTTTGCTGTTTCAGAAATTTATAGATCTTCATCAGTTTCAAAGCTAATTCATATAAATGCAAGAATCATCAGAAGTACGAATTGCAAATTGTAATACCTGATGAGAATATGCATAAGCCAATGCCCTTTCTCTTCTCATAGCTGCTTCCTGCCGATGTTGAAGATTTGCTTCGATCTGTTCTTTAGACTGCATGCTGTCATTCCAATCCTCTCCAGTCTGTTGTCAGTTTTCCAACATCTTAGCCAATAGTTGTGAACAAAGATGAAAAATAACTTCTCTATGTAAACACTCAGTGCATTTAGGCGTACTAATGAAGCAATTACACAACAAAGAGATATTTTCACAATGTGAGTTGCTTAGCAGTATACACAGGTAAAAATTGTGAAAATATCTACACAAAGTTTCCTTTGAAATGAAAATTAGTAATAAAAATTCTACTGAATACATAACCCGAGATAGAGGTTGAGAATATGCAGGCTCCTGATCCAAAATCTTTTAAAGAAATGAGAAGGCAAACATTCTGAGCTGTTTTTTATTGCAAACTGTTTGTCTGCTCTATAAAATTAATCAAGAAAAGTCAGGCACTCAAATTAACAAAAAGCTAACTACTGTTTCCTTAGTTCTTTAATAACGCCATCAAAAATAGTTTTCGATGCATGAGAAATGTACATCAAGGAAACTGGGAGATCATTAAGAAAAAGACTAGATGAAAATAAGCATGCAAAGTAGAAGAGTTATCGTGAAATGTAAAAGTAAATCTGCGAATTGCAGACTCAAAACAAAAGTAAATCAGTCCAAGAATGCCACTCACAGATGCTCTCAACTTTTCAAGCTCCTTCTCATGCTTCTGCTGGAGCTGTCGCTGAAGAGTCATATTCTCCTCCGTCATTCTAATTCTCCTAGCACGAATCTCAGATTGCACACGAGCCAGTGTCTGCATACATCGTAAGGTGGTTGTTGCTTGACGTTTCACAGAGTTCCCTCGAATCAATGATTTCAGCCTCACCAGCCCTTTCAGTGCCTTCAACGCTCTCCTAGCCTAAATAAAGCATGAAATAATAATAGTCACCGTCCAGATATAATAAGCTACAATGCTAATCACCAATCGATAGGTTATGCGGATCAAATACATCTATGGTTTAAAAAAATAAATAATAATTTTTCGCATACCCCGGGTATTTATCACTACAACAGCCAGATATTTCATAGTTCATCATGATCAAGTATCGAAAAGGATATCTATACAACATTAAAAAATGATCATCTTACCAAGTACCCTCGGAAAGCTGTCTGAATCTTAATAGCGGCTATTTCTTCCTTTGTTCTACCCAAATTATGGGCTGCAGTTGTGAGTCGAACAACCTCGGCAGCCTGAGCAGCTGCAACTGCTGCCTCAGCAGCCGCAGCTGTTGCAAAAGCAACAGAATAAGCATGCCTATTCTGCTCATCCTCAGTTTTTATCAACTTTAATTCCTCCACCGGGCCATCGAGTGCAGGAACCACCGGAGCATTTTCTTCTGCATTGGAAGAATCCAAATCTAGACTCTTCTGTTTTCGGGACCATCTTTTTGATTTATTGTTTTTCTGTCAACAAGAAATTGAACTATTCTGAATTAAATCATCAGAAGGTAACATTCAAATAAAAAAAATAAAATATATGAAATCAATTAGCAACTTTATCTTTCTTCTCTTTCGATTCGTAGCTCAGAGCTCTATTCAGTGCACAAAACCAGCTCCCCTTCTTCCCCATTTCTCAATATATAATCTTGAAAACAGAGAGAAATTCAAAGTTTCAGAAAATTAACTCGGGACAAAAATATAGTTAAAAAAAAAATGAGGAAAAAGAACAGTTTCAAGCAGTTCGCATACCATTTACAGCATTACACTAGATTTACCCCTGAAATTTCTTTGTTACCAAAAATCAAACTCATCATTTACTTGGACCATTTAAATATAATTTCGTATGCAGATTTTCAAAGACTCAAACAGATCTACATCAGCACAATTAATATTTCAATTTTCTTATCATCTTGAGCGAAATAGATGGTAATTATGAGAACACTTGTTACCCCCATAAAGAATAAAACTTTAAATAATCACCAGTTGAAAATTTTGTGCATAACGAATATATTATATTGGCAAGGACATAAAGTAATTAGCTTTAGAAATAAAGATAAAAAATGTTAAAATATCTTTCAAACCCATGATTATATTTGCAATATCCACGAGATTAAATGCGAAAAATCACAAAAACTGTTAAAACATATGTAAAACCCATAATTAAATTTGCAATATCCATAAGATTAAAATGCAAAATATCACAAAAATGTTAAAACATCCGTAAAAACCATGATAAAATTTGCAGTACCCGTTAGAGTTAAATGTAAAAAATCATCACAAACTGCATGAAACCGTACACCCATTTTACCCACTAATTATACAACATATAATTAGATAAACATCAACCAAATCCAAAACTATAAAGAACCCATTTTATAACCCATTTTATATTAAAATGAAAAACAGAAAAGCATTACATGTCAATACACCTGAAAACTGAAAATTTGCAGATTAATTTCTTTGCAAAAACTTGATTATATCTCTTCCGTTTTCTATACCCTTCAAAAATGTCAAACGAACTCGAAAGTTGAGGGCGTGCACGAGAACCCTGTGAAGATTAAGACAGAGAGACAAAGATAGAGAGAGAGAGAGAGAGAGAGAGAGATCGATATTCTTGTTTAAGGAAACTTAAAAACGTTAAGAAATGCTGTTGAAGACAAGAATAACGGAATAGGGCAATTTCGACATTTGAATAGCATATTAGAGGTAAAATAGGTATTTGATACATTAAATGGTTGGCCTGTAAGAGCGTGCAGACATGTTTATTATGGGCCCACAACACATGCCCATTGATGCAAATAAAGTGGGACCCAGATCAGATCCAACGGTCAAAACTTGCCATAATATTTGTACTAGAAAAGGGTCATTGTTCTCTTTAAGTTTGGGCTTTTGTACAATAAGTACGTTAAGGGTTAATTTCACTTTTGGTCACTGAGCTTTCAGTTGATTTCCAATTGGGTTACACAACTTTAATATATCATGATCACATAACTAAATTAAATTAAGGCCCTATTTGGTAATAATTTTTCACCTCAAAAATTCAATTTTTTAACTGTCATTTCATTATTTCGATCGTCATTTTTTATTTCTTTACGTACAGTGGGACCCATTTTTCTCTCTAATAATTAAAAAATCAATTCTCATAATCGAAGATACCCTAATTATCAATATTATTCACTTCCCTCTAGTCACTATTAAACATGGAATGGCACTTAATCATGTTATGACTACAAATCTTAAAGTTATGGATGAATAGAACATCTAAGTATGCTTCGGTAAATGAATTTTAATCAAATTTAAACATAATTTATTTTCAAAATTTACATCTGCAGCATGATTTTTTGGTATATTTACTTGTAAAACGTAGACATGTTAGATCGTCATTAAATTTTCGTGTTCAAGTCGGATTGTAATATTAAGTTTAATATGTTGCTAAAAAGTGATAAAAGATCGTAAATTAAAGTTCAGTGTTCTGATTGAGAAAATTTATAATTGTGTAAATCATTGAGCTTTTAACTGAAATCAGTGACCAAATCCGATCTACACATAAATTAATTAATGAACCTTATTGTTTCAAAGGTTGAATAATTCAGTAATATATTGTTGGAGAAAATTAGTTGTAGATAGCTTTCAAGAACGACAATTATAATGCAGCAAGAAAATTTATCGATTGATTGAGACTCAGAACACCATGATATCCTAAAATAAATTGCACAATGTAAACTGCTGCGATTTCTTTGAATAATCATTCTCAAGATACAATGATCAAATTACTTATACGACAATCACGAGCGACTTCCAGAATCCTTAGTAGTACTCCAGAGAATATCTCAAAAGGCAGATTAATACTGAAATCGAGTATATTAGGAGCATGTTTGGTAGAGATTTATTTTAATCCAATTAAAATCAATTTTTTGAGCGTTATTTCATTATTCCAGCCGTAATTTTTGAATTCTTCTTTCACAAGTAGGACTCACTTTACCTCTAACGGTCACAAAATCAATTAACAAAATCCCTACCAACAAGCTCTAGAATTATAGAATATAAAACTGAATTGTTGTTATGTTTTCCAAGAAAAGAGAAAGGTATCTACATGCCAAAAGTTATAACTCCCAATTCATAATTTTATTAAAATAAAATTGTGATTTTATGAGATTTTTATGATTTATATAAGTCATCCAATAACTGTCTCAATTGACATTTTATTTACTAGTTAGTTTTTATTGAATAGTTAGACGAATGAAATTTATTCTGTTCGGATTTATTCTTAGATTTTGTATTTCAAATTTTGTATATCTAGAGATGTATTTAGCCAAAATACATGCAATAGAATCCTTTTATTCGGCTCAATCCTTTTATGAAAATGATTAAAAATTTATTTTAATCAAAGAAAGTCAAAGTCCAATAAAAATAAAATTTAATATTCGGGTGGAATGTGATTTGAACCGTCGAGCTCACTATAGATTTCACATTTTTCAACACTCGGACGTTTTTTAGAATTTAATTATTTCTTTTATATAATATATTTGGTATATATCTAACATATATAATATTAATATTTGTAAACACATTCTATAATTTTGTTAAATTTTTGAGTTATAACTAAGTGCTTGTTTGATACAGATTTTAAGTTAATTAAAATCAAAATTTTGACCATTATTTCAGCCGTCATTTTTAAATTTTTTTTTCATATGTAGGACTGACTTTATCTCTAACGATAAAAAAATCAATTATCAAAATCCCTACCAAACAAGCACTTAATTAAGCCGCCGTTCCAATTCTTTTCAAATTTTAATGGTTGGAATAATATTTTTTTTTAAAAATGTGTGGTTCAAAGAAAATGAAAAGTTTTTTGATTTGCGTGTAATTTATGAAAGATTGTGTGGTTGAAAATAAAAGAGAGAAAATAAATGAGAAGGAGAATGGAGGTCAGCGGGGCTAAATGGTGATGTAAAAACATAGTGTTATTCGCTAATATATTATTCGATAAAAGGAGGCTTTCATTTTAAAAGTGCTAGCTAGGTCGGATTCACAAAAACAAACCGCCATGTGCAAACCACCACGAGACATCAAAACAAGTGCGACCTAGAGTAACTTGCCTTTTCAAATAGGTCGATCCACATAAAATTTGTCCTTTATTTTGTCAAGTCTATTTTGGATCATACGAGGATCGATTATCACATCTAAAAACGACGTTTTTTGGTGTTATAGGGATTGAATAATCTAATTAAGCACAAATATAATAGACCAAATCTTTGTCTTGCAACGGATGACTTAATTTTGGTGCACAAATGTATTAATTTCAAGCATTGAATATATATGTAACCCAACCGATTCTGAAACAGAGTATTTAAGGTAGCAGCAAGTTTGGGTGGCAACATTTACGTCTTCACATGTTAGTTGTCACCTTTGTCGGGCCCCTTCTAATTGGAAAAATCAAATTCAATGAGGATTTGATTCATCCGACACGTACACGTCATAAGGGGCATGATGACTTGATGTCATCCTCACCTTCCTCCGGCTCATCACCGGTAGTCTTGGGGAAATTTGACTAATTTTTTAATGTGTTGTATCTGAGATAATTTCACTTCGTTCGATGATTGGAATAAATTCGACAGCGAATCACGAAATCTTGGTGATCTTCTCTATCTAATGAATACGATCCAAGTAATAAATGTCCAAGTTTTCTTTGGATCCCAATTCTAATATGATCCCCATTTTTCTCTGATAGATGGTCAGGACTTCGTTTGGGTTCGAATCCTACTGAGGGGTCCACTAGTAATCAGAGATATGGTACCAATTGAGTTTTTTCTAAACGGAGCCTGAATATTTCATTTTTTAGTCCAACCAAGCTAACCATAAATTATTCTAATTGATAATAGTAATGTGAATCGCCCCAAACAATGGATGGAATCACTAGTCAATCCTATTTTCAATAGGGGCAGTTGACCATTTAATCCGATTTTGACCATTATATTCAGATCCGTAATAGTGCGAAAAGAAGGCCTTGCCTCCATCGAGAAATAGAACTGACTAATTCTAAATCAAAGGGTCGAGAAACTCAACGTCACAATGCTAAAGTAATCAAAATGAATAACACATTTAATAAAAAAAAAATATATTTTTTCTTTTCCGATTCATTTTAGCTTACCAAGACAATGATCAGTAGTTGGTCAACCTTTGTCCTCTCCAAAATTGATAAATTAATTTATTTCTCTTGCAAAGAGAACAAATAAATGTTATTTAACAACAATCTTAAATTAAAAATCAAGGGTTCAAACTAGTTTACTGGTATGACGTGAAGCAATAAAACACAGAGAACACATATTGAAACTCGTTGATTTTAAAAGAATATTGAGAATTGATCGATTAATGATTTGCTAATTCAATCAAATACTAATAATTGATTGGAACAAGGTCTCATTGATTCGACATGAATACTGAGTATTTATTAAATCAATATATTAGTTGATTCACAAGGAATACCAAATTATTGACACGAACTATGAGAATCTCAAAAGAAAATTAAACTGAAGATTGAGAATGACTGAAATCAAGACACTATTTATTTGACATGAATGCCGAAATCTATTGATTCCTTGATTTACTAATGTATCAAATTTTACACACAAATTGAGAGACATCCAATAAAATTTTTGAGCATTGATTTAATCAATAAATTCATCGATTCACGAAAAATATCGAATTATTAGAACAAATTAAAGAATCTCAACCTCAATCCATTGAATTCATAGTATCATAGTCCTCAACGAATTGTCAATGTCATTTTCTCTTAGAAGACGCAAAACTTTCACATATCTAACTTTTGAGGGATAAAATGGACAATAATTTATAATTTGTTTCTCTCGTTTACTAGTCTTCTTAATAGTCGGTTTGATCCCATCTTTGTCCTAGGACGACAATTTCGGGATGGAAGAGTGGTATATATGGGAAATGCTGGAATACCATATTCATTTTTCCAAGGTCATTACAGGTTACTCACATGTAGGGCGTGGGGTGGGTATTTTTTTGGCCATTTTTTATTGGGTAAGCTCCCTGTATGTGAGTAAACCTGTAATGACCCTGGTAGAATGAATCTGGTATTCCAGCATTTCCCTATATATATA